CACTTGACTTTGGGGTGACCCGATGACAGAACCACTCAGCCACTCTCCTTACTGCTCCATCTCTTCTAAACTCCTGTAGCATCTCACTCAGGCCCTCAAATGAGTGACCCCCAAGTTGTTGACATAAGGTCCACTCTGTGTCCACTGTCACACATGCTTTACTCTGCATTTCCTGCGAACCCTTGGGCTCCCCAGGCCCTCTTAAATCTCCATGGATTATAGGAGACAAACCCATTTACTTGTTGAAAGCCTGCAGAATGTGTCCAGCCACTTAGGGGAGAGCAGGAGAGGGCTGGGATCTGGCAGTGATTTGTGGTCATGGAGTTCCCTGAGGAACCATCATGGTGATGGCTGATTTGTAGAACAAGTGCTCGGTGCTAGTGCAAAGGAAAGGCACAGAGCAGGAGCGGGGATCCTGGGGACCGATATGGCTTTGGCCACCACACACAGCCCGTGGTTGGGAATGGTAGGGATAATGGTGGGTGGGTCTCTGCCACACAGTGGGGATCCATTGTAACTCTCTCTCTCTTTTTTAAAAGATTTGTTTACTTATTTGAAAGGCAGAGTTACAGAGAAGCGGAGGCAGAGAGAGAGGTCTTCCATCTGCTGGTTCACTCCCCAAATTGTTGCAATGGCCAGAGTTGGGTCAATTGAAAGCCAGGAGCCAGGAGCCAGGAGCTTCTTCTGGGTCTCCCACGCCAGTGCAGGGGCCCAAGGATTTGGGCCATCTTCTGCTGCTTTCCCAGGCCATAGCAGAGAGCTGGATCAGAAGTGGAGTAGCTGGGACTTGAACCGGTGTCCATATGGGAAGCCGGCACTGCAGGCAGTGGCTTTACCTGCTACACCACAGTGCCGGCCACCTTTGTAACTCTTAAATATAACCAGAAGATTCTCAGATGACCATCCATCTACTCTGAGCGGCAGAGAAGTGCTGCCGGGATGCAGCCACTGCACTGTGTTCCTTAGGCTGTCCCCGTCTCCCATTACATTTTCCAAGGCAGACTGAGTGCATGATTGGCCCAGACCCAGGGCCCAGCCCTTCGAAGAGAAAGCAGCAGTCAGTGGGATGTACATTCATGAGAAGGGAAAATGAGGCTCTTTGTACCTGCAAGGGGGACCTCTGTTGTGAGCTGGAGAGCTCAGCATGACCATGCAGGCTGCGTGAGGTTTGCAGAGCTGAGGTGCGCTGTGCCAGGCAAAGCAGCCCCTACGGACTGAATAGGCAGTGCCCTCAGAGGCCCTTCTGCGACGGCATTGCCGTTTCAGGGGATGCATCAGGCCAGCCTGAGCAGCGTGCAGCACGGGCACAAGTAGGGTCTGATAAAACAAGACACTTCGGGGGGCCAGCGCTGTGGTGTAGTTGGTAAAGCTGCCGCCTGCAGTGCCAGCATCCTACATGGGCACCGGTTCTAGTCCTGGCTGCTCCACTTCTGATCCGGCTCTTTGCTGTGGCCTGGGAAAACAGTGGAAGATGGCCCAAGTCCTTGGGCCCCTGCACCCGCGTGGGAGACTGGGAAGAAGCTCCTGGTTTCAGATCAGCCTAGCTCTGGCCGTTGTGGCCATCTGGGGAGTGAACCAGTGGATGGAAGACCTCTCTCTCTCTGCCTCTGCCTCTGCCTCTCTGTAACTCTGCCTTTCAAATAAATAAATAAATAAATACATATTAAAAAAAATAAACTTCTGTTCTGTCATTTCCATGCCAAGAAGTCCCCACAGGAGCTGTGATGTCCCTGCTTGATAATTACTGACTTGACACATTTTATTTTTTCTGAGAAACAATTTTTTTCTGAGCTTTTAATGGAGGCATGATGTTGAGATAAAGGGTGCAATTACCAGGTGTAGTGTATTTTTTCTAAAATAAATTTGCTCCTTTGTTACGAAATTTTAATAGTGGAATAGCAAGTTTCCCCAAAACCCCAAGAGAAAAAAATAAAATGCAAAGTAAAACAAAACAAAAGCAAGTGACTATTAACACTACAGTGGCCGGCGCTGCGGCTCAATAGGCTACTCCTCTGCCTGCAGCACCGGCACCCCAGGTTCTAGTCCCGGTCGGGGCGCCGGATTCTGTCCCGGTTGCCCCTCTTCCAGGCCAGCCCTCTGCTATGGCCCAGGAGTGCAGTGGAGGATGGCCCAAGCGCTTGGGCCCTGCACCCCATGGGAGACCAGGAGAAGCACCTGGCTCCTGCCATCGGATCAGCGCGGTGCGCCGGCCGCAGTGCGCCGGCCGCGGCGGCCATTGGAGGGTGAACCAACGGCAAAGGAAGACCTTTCTCTCTGTGTCTCTCTCACTGTCCACTCTGCCTGTCTAAAAAAAAAAAAACAAAAAAACAAACAAAAAAAAAACACTACAGTGTGAACGTATGCTCCCAGTCTTTTAGCACACATACACGCCTCACTTTTGACTTGAAGAGGATCACACTGTAATACCATCCTTGGACTACTATGTTTCACTCCCCCAATATGTCTAGATCTATAAGGCTGTCAATATGTTTGATCTATCTTATCATTTTCAGGGCTTCACTGTAGTCCACTATATGAGTGTGACTTAATTAATGGATCCCCTGTTGAGGACTGGTTTAGGCTGTTTTCGGTTATTACCGTATTTGGTTATTTTAAATTCTGGTAACTATTTTCTGACCATAAATCTTTGCACACTTACACAAAAATTTCTGGAGGATAAATTCTTGGGTGTGGATTTCATGCATCATAGAACAGGTACCTTAATTTTGACAAATGTCAGGGCCAGCGAAAGGCACAGCGGGTTAAAGCCCTGGCCTGAAGTGTCGGCATCCCATATGGGCGCCTGTTCTAGTCGCAGCTGTTCCACTTCCGATCCAGCGCTCTGCTATGGCCTGGAAAGCAGTAGAAGATGGTCCAAGTCCTTGGGCTGCTGCACCCATGTGGGAGACCCAGAAGAAGCTCCTGGCTCCTGGCTTCCGATTGGCACAGCTCTAGCTATTGCGGCCATCTGGGGAGTGAACCAGCAGATGGAAGATCTCTCTTTCTATCTCTACCTCTCTCTGTAACTCTTTCAAATAAATAAAATAAATCTTAAAAAAAAAATTTGACAAATGTCAAAATGCCATGCAGAAATCCATCAGCTCACACTTTGAACATGTGGTAGAGTGCCCTGTTCTCAAGTTAGCACCATCTCTGGGCATTACAATCTTTGCAAAACTGATGTGGAAAAAGAACTTATTTTAATTTTCATTTATTTAATAGTGACTTGGAGTCTGCTGTCATACCCACGTGGGCCACATGTATGTCTTTCTTAGTGTATTCAGTATTTCCTGATAAGGTACTTATCTCTTATTGAGATAAGTTAAAGACTTTATATATAAAAAATATTAGCACTTCGTCACATATCTTGCACGCAATTAAATCTCTTCAATAATAGCAGCATATATTAAAAATCTTTTAAAAAATTTTATTTATTTAAAAGAATTAGAGAGAGAGGCAGAGACAGAGAAAATTCTTCCATCCTCTGGTTCACTCCCCAAACTGTTGCAATGGTTGGAGTTGAGCTGATCCGAAGCCAGGAGCTTCTTCCAGGTCCCCTCGTGGGTGCAGGAGCCCAAGCAGTTGGGCCATCCTCTGCTGCTTTCCCAAGTATGTTAGCAGGGAGCTGGATTGGAAGTGGAGCAGCTAGGACTCAAACCAGTGCCCATATGGGATGCCGGTGCTACAGGCTGGGGCTTTACCCCACCAAGTCACAGCGCTGGCCCTTTAAACAGCTTTCTTACATAAACTCGGTGACCTCTCACCATCTCTACCCCGCAACCCCCCTGGCCCCCCACTCCAGTAAACTTTTGGTTCTTGACACTGACTAGTTCCCTAGGGATGCCACAACAAAGCCCTATGAACTGGGTGGTTCAGAACAAAACAAATGTTGCTCTTTCACTGTTCTGGAGGCCAGAAGTTAAAGCTAGCATTTTGGCAGGGCTATGCTTCCTTTAGAGACTTCTAGGGGAGGATCTTGCCCCGCCTCTTCTAGCTTCTGGGAGTCCCAGGTGCTCCTGGGCTTGTGGGGGCAGCAGCCACTCTCCTCTCCTTCCCACGAAGTGTCGTTTCTCTTCTTTTTATTAATTTATTTTATTTTATTTTATTTGAAAGACAGAGTTACAGAGAGAGGTAGAGACAGAGAGAGAGGTCTTCCATCCGTTGGTTCACTCCTCAGATGGCCACAACGGGCTGGAGCTACGTCAATCCAAAGCCAGGAGCTTCTTCCGGGTCTCCCACGCAGGTGCAGGGGCCCAAGGACTTGGCCCATCTTCCACTGCTTTCCTAGGCCACAGCACAGAGCTGGATCAGAAGAGGAGCAGTTGGGACTAGAACTGGCGCCCATATGAGATGCTGGCACATCAGGCCAGGGCGTTAACCCACTGCGCCACAGCGGCGGCTCCCATCACTTCTCTTCTTATAAGGACACCATTCATACTGCTGTAGAGCCTAAGCACCTCATCTTAGCCTGACTGCATCTGTAGAATGTATTTCCAAATAGAGGTTACATTCACAGATGTTGGGATTGACATCCACACAATTCAACTGCCAACAAACACCCACCCGTGATGAAATTCTGCCATCCCCAGTACAGTATAAACACTTAAGGGCTAGAATTGGGTCAGTCTTATTTCAAATTCTAAGCCCCAGTACTTAGCACAGTGTCTGAGAGGTAGTAGGTATTCAATAATAACTTCCTAAAAGAAAGAATTTAAGGTTCATGAATATCTGGTCTTTCAGGCACCAAATGAACACGATGCCTGAGTGTGCATTTTAATTTGCTTGGAGAAATCTGTAATGGAAATGCTTGCGAGGAGGGATGCCTGAATTGTCCCTAAGAGAGGGTCTCAGCTTTCTGCAGGGGTAGTGTTTAATGTCTTCAGGCATCTCTCCTACCATGTCTTTGAGAATCTGAAAACAAACACAGAGACTAGGTGCAAATTTATTTACTAGAATTATTAGGTCAGATGAAACAGAAAATAAGCCACTAGAACGTGTGCAAATCCAAATTTATTTTTATTTTCTTCAGGTTGCTAAATATAATTGTAAATTTATTGCATAATCACAGAAAACACAGCCTAGCATATGAAATAAAGATCAGATTTGTCCCAGACATTTTCTAAATTACTTTTAGATTTCCAAAAATAATTAATTTGCATGAATGCAGGACACACAACCTCCAAATGATGCCACTGCAAAATTTCCATCCAGCCTTTTCAAAGCAGAATAGTTCACCTCCTGAAAAAGACGGATTTACTGAAGTGTATTTATTAAGAAGCCAGTGTTCTCTCTGGGAGTTGATGTCATTTTTATCTATAACGTTTCCCCCCTTCCTTTCCTCCAGGTAACACTCATGCAGCCACACAGGGCCAGACTTGGGCTGTCTGCTTTCCTTTACTTCCAGTGGCCATAGTTTCAACCTGAGAGCAGTGGCCACTCTCCTACGTCCTGATGCACAGCCGTTGAGATGAGCTACTCTAATTCGAACAGAAGCAACTTTGGGGCCTGGTGCTTTATCTTCACTCACTCAGTCATGGTTTATGTGCCCAGAACCAAGAGCCAAAGCCATTATTTAGATCCACATGCTGCTGGTTTTTTGTGACCTGCGCAGTCACACGAGGTTCCCCCGCCCCCACCTTGCTCAAAAGGTTTAATGCTCTGCTGTGGCCATCTTGGGTTTCTTGATGATCTTTGAAAGGCCAGTCCCCATTTGTCCTTTTGCACTGGGCTCTGACAGTTAGGCAGCCAAATCCCAGATGGAGGTACAATCAGTTTTCAACTGATTCATCCGACTTGGTGAACTGTTTTTCCTTTGGTGTGCAGACAGGTGCAGGATGACCTTAGCTCTGGAGAGTTTTAAAAGGCATAGGGGTTTCTGGTCATGTATCCACTGGGAACAGTGAAGGAAGTACATAAAGGTGCCTTTTGTTTATGTGCAATCAAGTCTATAAAGTTAAAATTCTACTGTCATTTGGAATATTGGAAGAACCAAGTCCAGTGTGATATGAGTATGTATAAAATCAGCATCAGGAGAGAACTGAAAGACCTGGTCCATTGGAAGAGCAAATATGTATGCACATGTGCCAATAAGCTAAGCATCACACTTCTCTACAGTTCCTTTATTGTTGAGTTTTTCGGCAGTTCAGATACAAAGCAGAATGCGTACAAGAGCTGAGCCTGGCTATTCGTCATAAGAATAGCCAAAGCATCTTCTTTGGAACTAGAAAGCACCATTCTTCTCGCTTTCCTTCAAAACAATGGTGGGAGATGGTTTAGAAGTGCCAAAATGTCTATCTTCCACTTACACAGAGGAAGAAAAATTTCATTACAGGGCATGGCCCTCTGTACGGGGACAGACCAGGATTTTAGAAAGATGAGTTGTCAAAGCAGGGGAATGAATGCCTTCTGGATGCCTGCGAGTCGGGGAAAGGCTCCATAGGCAAGGAGGGAGAGTTAATTTGCACCTGCAAAGGCATTGGGGTTTCTAACCCTGGATGTGTTTAGAATGATCTAGAGCACACAGAAAAATATGGATGCCTGGGCCTCATCCCATTAAATTAAATTAGAACCTGGGAGTGCAAGGGGGCAAGTGTGTGTGTGTGTGTGTGTGTGTGTGTGTGTTTGTGTAATTTTTTAAAAAAGATTTACTAATTTAAAGGCAGAATTAGAGAAGGAAAGATATAAAAAGACAGAGATCTTCCATAAGCTGGTTCATTCCTGAAATGGCCACAATGGCTGGGGATGGGCCAAGCAAAAGCCAGGGGTGAGGAACTTCTTCCAGGTCTCCCACATGGGTGCAAGGGCCCAAGCACTTGGGCCATCCTCTGCTGCTTTCACAGGCCATTAGCAGGGAGCTGGATCAGAGTGGAGCAGCAGGGACTCAAACCAGTGCCCATATGGGATGCCAGGTGTCACAGGCGGCAGTTTAATCCACTGTGCCACAGTGCTGGACTGGCAAGGGTATTTTAAAGAAGCATCCCTGGGGTCTCTTCTTTTCAGCCTGAGTTAAGAACCAGTGTGCACCTGCAGATACAGAATGAAAGATTTGGGCTGTCCCCAAGTTCAACAGGTATCTATTTAAAAAACTTAAGAATCTAATATATATTTGTATCTGGTTTCACTTAGATCCCATTAGCAGAGGGGTTTCTATGTAATGTATTTGCTGTAGGCAATCTAAAAATATTGCATAAATAATTTTATGATCTTTAAACAACACTCCCAATAAATAGCAAGATATTTAAGAGTTGAGACTATTTTTAAAGCAGTCATTTCAATTTTTAGGCAATCTAAAGGATGTGTCAAAGTTTAAAAGCCCTTAACATGGAGAAATGAAGAGGACAAGTAGTGTTCTTTCTAACCTGGAATACTTCTTGGTTACCAAGTATCTTCTGTTAAAAAAGAAAGAACCACTCAGGCCAAAACTTAAAATTAAGGCCTAATTCATATTTCCCCGAATGCACCTTTAATAAGATACTTAAAAACCCACTAAATAGCTTTACAAGTACCAAAAATTGTAGCAATCCTAGAGTAGAAATGCTCTTCCAGACTCACTAGAGTTTGTGGGGCACAGCCATCCTTGAGGATTTCCAAGTCTGGGAAGGGGGGTGACTGCAGAGGAAGGGGACAGGGAACAAGAGAGAGAGCGAAAGAGAGCGAGGGGTGGGGCGATGCACTGGCCTCAAAGAGTCCCTTCAGTTAAGTCTGTGCCGGGGAAGGCCACACTCCCTGTGCTGTGGGCAGCGGGGAGACAGAAGGCCCCCATCTCTGCATCCCATGTTCACAACCCTGGAACTGGAGCAGCAGGGCCGAGGTTCAGACTGTCCCTTACGTGTCTGTGTGCCCCAGCTGCACACTGCAGAGCAGTCTGAGAGTGGAAGCCACTGAGAAGGCCTCCTGGGCCTGGCTCCCAGCACGTCACTAACATCTGCAGTCACCATGGCGATGTTGAGAAGCATTGTTTGAGGCATGAGACAAAGGCTACCGTTATGGCCTCTGCCTCTGGACAGAGCCTGCAGAACACAGGATGACCAAACTGAGAGGAAACCCAGATGAAAACAGGTATTATCAGGCATTCTAAGGAATTTCCAGAAGCGACAGCCGAACTATCAAGCACACTGAGGAAGTCATCAGTCTGCTCTGTCTTAGAGCGTTCTCCAACAACACTGAGATGGATGGGAAAAAACCAACCAGCAGGTAAACTCGGCAAGGAGGATGTCAACCAACCAAAAGTCAGTGCCAACCTTCTTCCCTCCAGTGAAGAGTTCAGCAAGGAAAAGAATAATATTTCTGCAGTGTGTCAGCTTTCACAGTGGCCCATTGCATTTTAAATCCAAACTGGACGACTGACAAGCCGATTGAAAGCTGTAGACCATTCCTGTGTTTCTGATTCTGGCCTAAATTATCAGGCTGAATGCTTCTCTCCTTGTTTGATGCCCAAAACAAGATGCAGGAACCAGTTAAACTGCACGGTCCACCCTTTGTCTCTGCAAACTTCAATCTGATCAAGAAAATACTTCTTGGCGTCCTCCTCACTCTTGCCCACCGTTAAGGCGTCCCGGATGTACTCGATGTCTTCTTTGCTTGTTAGCTGGGGCATCCCTGTCATCAGCATCATGGAGAAGAGGACGATCAGCAGGTTTGTGTGATGGCGAAGGGCGAGGTAGGCCTTGACACAGACGTCCTGCGGGAGAGAGGAGAGGACACCGTCACTGCTGCTGTGAGCCCAAGCAGGCTGGAGACCAGGGCTGCACTCACCACCTGTCCAGGAGAACAGAACACCACAATGCGCAAGTGTGTGTCGCAGATGCAGAGCCTGATGACAATGCTGTAGTGTGCCTGTGTCAGGGTACACTCAGACAAAACTAATGGATACGGATACGTTTCACCTTGTTTCTTACTCTGCCATGTCACTGTCTTTCCTTGGAGACTGAGGTGGAAATTTTTATAGTCTCTAAAGAGACACTTTTTTGAACATCATAATGGAATCAATAAACTTTAAGCAAAAAAGAAAAATGTTGCCAAGACCTTATAAAATCTAAAGAAATAATGGAAATGTGTTTGAGATTTGGTTACATTTAAAAAATATTTATTTATTCATTTGAAAGGCAGAGTAATAGGGACACGGTCTCACACACACACACACACACACAGATTATATCCACTGGTTCACTCCCTAAGTGCCTGCAATATTTAGGCCAGGATACAGGAACTCCATCTGGCCTCCCATGTGGGTGCGGGGTCCAAGCACTTGGGCATCCCCTGCTGCCTACCAGGCATATCAGCAGGGAGCTGGATCAGAAGTGCAGAGTGGCAGGGCTCAACCAGGCACTCCAATATGGCATGCAGGTGTCTCAAGTGGTGGCTTACACTATGGCACCACAACACCTATCCCAAGATTTGGTTATTTTTTTTTTTTATTTTACATTTAGTTCTACTCTAAGAAAACAGTCAAAAATTAGTTTTTCACTGTCTGATTCTTAAAACTGTCACATGAACTTCAGGATTCTAATACAAATTTTGAACAGTGGGTGAGAGAGGGCTTTAACAAATGCTATGCCAGGGGCTGGCATTCGGCCCAGCGGTTGAGATACCTGTGTCCCACATCAGAGTGCCAGGGTTCGATTCCCAGCTCTGGCTCCTGACCACAGGTTCTTGCTAAGGCAGATCCTGAGGGACAGCAGTTGATGGCTCAAGTAACTGGGTTTCTGCCACCCATGTGAGAGACCTGGATTGGGTTTTCAGTTCCTGGCTTTGGCCGTGTGCCATCAATGCCATTGCAGACCTTTGGGGAGTGAAGTACAGATGGGAGATCTGTCGGTGGGTCTGTCTGTCTCTCTCTCAAAACAAAACAAAAACACAAAGAATGCCATGGCTAATGCTTCCCAAAACACTGCAGCAGGTGGTATAGTTGTTAGGTCCATGCATTGAATAATAGATATGTTTGCCATTTAAATTATTCCAAACACAGAAAAAGATGCAAGTTTTATAACACAAGAACAGCCTAGCTTTAATAATATCACTTGACACAGATAGCACATTAAATAAAATTAAAAGTTAATGACTATAGGCATAAGTATTTCCAATAAAATATTGAATAAAATATTTTAAAAAATACCATAGCCAAATAGAGCATATTCTAAAACTGCAAGATTAGCTCATCCTAAGGTACTGGATTAATAACGATTTTTGATTTAAAAAAATGTAACTTAATGTCACTAAAATGTTACAATGTGAAGAAATTATTTGACATTATGAAAATAATTCTAAATAACGACAGAAAAAGAAATGAAGTCTAAAATCAGAAAAGTGAAAGTAAGATTATTAGTATTTACAAATGATGTAACTGTCTTATTGGAACACTGAAGGGAAGACAAATGCAAATAATTTTTTGTTTGTTTGTTTTTTGACAGGCAGAGACAGTGAGAGAGAGAGACAGAGAGAAAGGTCTTCCTTCTGTTGGTTCACCCCCCAAATGCCTGCCATGGCTGGCATGCTGTGCTGATCCAAAGCCAGGTGCCTCCTCCTGGTCTCCCAAGTGGGTGCAGGGCCCAAGGACTTGGGTCATCCTCCACTGACTTCCTGGGCCACAGCAGAGAGCTGGACTGGAAGAGGAGCAGCCTGGACAGAATCTGGCGCCCCAACCGGAACTAGAACCTGGAGTACCAGCACCGCAGGCAGAAGATTAGCCTAGTGAGCCGCGGTGCCCACCAAATGTAAATAATTTTGTAACTAGTCTTTAATAAAGTTTCTATAAAGTTTCTATAAAGTTTAATCCATAGACAGGCGTCACCAGGAGGAAAGCATACTCACAAAACAGATGCTGTGAATAATGGCAACTACAACAGGATACTTACAATAATAAACATGCACATAAAACAAGGTGATCCGACGTTTTTAAAATGCAAAACTTGGGGCCAGCACTGTGGCACAGAGGGTTAACGCCCTGGCCTGAAGCGCCGGCATCCCATATGGGCGCCGGTTCTAGTCCTGGCTGCTCCTCTTCTGATCCAGCTCTCTGCTGTGGCCTGGGAAAGCAGAAGAAGATGGCCCAAGTCCCTGGGCGACTGCACCCATGTGGGAGACATGGAAGAAGCACATGGCTCCTGGCTTTGGATCAGCACAACTCTGGCTGTTGCGGCCATCTGGGGAGTGAACCAGCGGATGAAAAACCTCTCTGTCTCTACCTCTCTCTGTAACTCTGTCTTTGAAATAAATAAATCTTTAAAAAAAAAATGTAAAACTTTACTGAGTCACATGAAAGAAAACTAAAGGGGAACATTTGGTGTAGTGGTTAAGGTACCACTTGTCATGCTTGCATCTCCTTATCCGAGTGCTGAGTTTGAGTCCTGGCTGCACTCCTGATTCCAGCTTCCTGCTAATGCACACCTGGAAGGCAGCTGTGATGGCTTAAAGTAGCTGGCTCCCTGCCGTCCATGCGGATCCCCAGATCCAGTCCCTGGCTCCTGGCTCCTGGCTCCTGGCTCCTGGCTCCTGGCTCCTGGCTCCTGGCTCTGGTCTGGCTCAGCTCTAATTGTGGGGGGCATTTGAAGAGGGAACCAGCAGATGGGAGACAGTGCTTTCTCTTCCCTTCTCCCCCATCTCTTTCAAATAAATAAAATTATTAATTACAAATAAAAAGAAAACCTTAATAGGTGGAACCACACAGCATGTTCCTCAGTGATAAGACTGCATTTATAGAGATGTACATGTGAATCAGTCTCAGATTCTTTATAAACATGAAATTCAAACAAACGTCTTCACTGGATGCTTAGGCTCATGTATGGTTTTAAGTTCATCTGGAATAGTTAGGCACTGAGAGGACATTTTGAAGAAGCATAGTAATGAAAACCAGGAGCTTGCCACAGTGATATGAAAACATTTTATACTACAGTATTAAACACAGTGTGAAACAGAATCTATTCTTTTCCCAAAAAGCCAAAAAAATGGTGTGGAACAGAACAAAATGTTCTCAGACATAAAAATATATACGATATATATTAAAGATGACTTCTCCAAATGGTGGGGGGAAACATCTATTATTTGAGAAATGTGGCTAGAACAGCTAGTTCATCATTTGGATGAAAAAAAAAAAAGGTACATTTTTGCTCTGTGTGATATGCCAAAATAAGTTCCAGATAAATTAAAGGCTTAAATGTAAGAAGAGCACATAGTTAAATCATCATGGAGTGGGGAAGAACTTTCTGAAGGTGACTTCCAGGAAGGAATCTATAAGGAAAAAAGCAGAGATTACCGAAACGTAAAACTTTGTGGGGGTTAAAAAAAAAAACTGGGCCGGCGCCGCGGCTCACTAGGCTAATCCTCCGCCTAGCGGCGCCGGCACACCGGGTTCTAGTCCCGGTCGGGGTGCCGGATTCTGTCCCGGCTGGCCCTCTTCCAGGCCAGCTCTCTGCTGTGGCCAGGGAGTGCAGTGGAGGATGGCCCAGGTGCTTGGGCCCTGCACCCCATGGGAGACCAGGAAAAGCACCTGGCTCCTGGTTCCTGCCATCGGATCAGCGCGGTGCGCCGGGCGCGGCGGCCATTGGAGGGTAAACCAACGGCAAAGGAAGACCTTTCTCTCTGTCTCTCTCTCTCTCACTGTCCACTCTGCCTGTCTAAAAAAAAAAAAAAAAAAAAAAAAAAAAAAACTGTAAAAAATTCTTAAAAGAGAGTAATGATAAAAGAAAACATTTTGGACATGACAGATCATTCCCCGACCTCCTGCCCCCAATATTCTTACTAATCAGTAAGAGAGAGAGAGAAAGAGTTCACTGGAAACACAGGCCAAACATATAAATGAGAAGACACACCTTAAGGCATAAAATAGATAATAAACCTATAAAATATGCAACTTCATTGGTGCTCAAATAAATCTAACTTAAAATGAGATGGAAATACCTAGAAATTCGAAGGCATTTTTGAAGGCAACAGCCAGTGTTCACCTCTTGCAGGCTGACAGCTGATGGCAGTAGGTATACCATTGTGAGTGGATAAACTGGTAACACAAATCAAGAGCCTTAAGATGCTTATCATTGTTATGTAACTTAACTGTGGCCATGGTTACCTAATGCGTTTGTCAAAATTAACAGAACTGTATACCAAAAAAGGGTGAATTTTTCTGTATGTGAAATATGCCTCCATAAACTCAAATTTAAAAATATCTACATCCTTTTACTCAGCAATTTTCAGGCTAGGAATTTACCTTTAAAAAAAAAAAACCTGCATAATTGGGGGCAGATGTTGTGGCACAGCGGGTTAAAGCCACCACTTGGGACATCCAGTATTGAAGTGCCTGGGATCAAGCCCCATCTCTGCTTCTGATCCAGCTTTCTGCTGGAGGCAGCAGGAGATGGGTCAAATACTTGGGTCCCTGTCCCCAGGTGGGGGACCCCAGTGGAGTTCCTGGCTCCTGGCTTCAGCCTGGTCCAGCCCCAGCTATCGTGGGCATTTAGAAAGTAAGCAAGTAGATGCAAGATTCTTTCTACTTTCTCTGTCATTCTGCTTTTAAATAAATCAATAGATAAACTTAAAAAAAAAAAAAACCTGTAATTTTGCAGTGATTTATCTACAAGGCTGTTCATTAGAATGTCTTTAAAATTCTGGAAATTCAGATTCCTACTATTACCATAGTAGGGTATTGATTAGAACACAGGCTTATGCAAAGATCCTATGATTTTATGTTCT